ATATATATATATATATATATATATATATATATTAATATTTAAAAATGATTGAATTAAATTATTTTAGCCTTTTTTTATATGCACTTTTAATTGCACTTAAAAATGAGGTTGCTTGTTGTATGAATATCAATTCATCAAAATCTAGTCTCAACACTGTTGTTTACTCATTGTTTTTCTTTGGTGTTGTTGACTCACTCATTTTAAATGGTAATGTGTGTGTCACACCGGCTGGCCATTTTAGAGAATGAACATAATTCGAGACATACGAACTCCACACCCCGATGAAAGCGTCATTTAATTGGTCCTGCATCTTCTCATAATCACTTTTATCGGTTTGGGTGTTTAGAGGAATTTTGACGTGCCCTGCTTTAATGACCAGGGTTTGTTTTTCACCAAATATTTCTCTTTCTCTTTTTCTTTGAGAAAAAGGGTTAGGGTTCTGCTCATCACCACCTCCTTGCCGTAAACCACAAACCTGTCAAACCAATGTAGGATTAAGCTCAATTAAGACACCAAAGGGTCTTCTATTCTACTCTTTATAAGTATAACATCATCCCAGCGTTCACAAGAAACACAAACAAGATTTAATATAATCTGATGTTCTTAGAGATATTTGGGTGAAAGCTAAATTGCTGCCATTCTCAGAGCCGAGGCCTTAAGTACACAGGAGTACTTTAAACACAGGCAGGCGCTCATAAACGTGAATATATAGGGGAAATATGTATAACTTTAATTAATCCGATCAGCTTAGAATTTGGTCAGAACAATCTAAAGACCTCAGTGATTAAAAGTTACTAAAACCTTTAGGTTTCATCGAACGACGTGGATATGGTGTGATGGCCATTTTACATGGTTCGCCATCATCCATCAAGCTATTGTAACTCGACTGTACTTTGTCAAAACTGTCCCAAACTTGACATGCTTGTTGACTGTCATGCTTTAGGACTTCTACATGCCAATATTAACTCATAGTCATAGCACCACCTACTGGCAACCACGGACGTAAGCAGGATTCTATAATTACAGCGGCCCAAACACTGAACTTATTGAAAGGGTTTGTGGGCACACCATGAGAAAAAGACTTCTCTGATGCAAACTAAGATGCTTGGAGAGCAAACGTTAGATAACAGTGGATTTTCAAACCATGTCAGTGGGCATTAGTATAAATGATCTGTCCAGAGCTTCTTCATGACAATCAGGTTAAACGTTACAATGAATGCTTCACACTACAATCTAAAGTTACAGAAGAACTTAAAATGAAAACAGTGTTAAATTGAAGTGTTCCAAGTAACAGCAAATGGCACTACTGTTTTGTTAACTTTCATGTAAGTCCAAATACAATCAGCAGGACACTGCAGGGAGTTGAACCCCATCCCAGTAAACTGACAGTCTGTTATGTTACAAGCACTGAAGCACATTCACACACATTAATTTTCTTAATGATCTTTAAAGGCTTACATTTATGATTGTATCAGAGGTACACTCAAAACATTTGAGGCTTAAGACCTGGCAACATGATCTTGCTATGCTGCTGGTCTACGCAGGAAATATCTCACTCGTGCACGCAGAGTGTGATGGTCACAGAAATTCATGGCCGCGTCACCCAGAGTCCTGCCAGTACCAGGAAATACCGTTTAACTCGTGCACGCAGTGTATGACGGTCACAGAAATGCATGGCCAGAGTCCTGCTAGTACCCTCGACGTGCGTGAAGTTGCGAGGGCCCGATCAATGCTGCTCGCAGCTTTAATATTGAATTGTGTTTTATTAATAATTTAAGTGTGAAAAGCACCAAACACATCAGAGTGAGAGCAGCGTTAGTGATGCGAACTGTCCTGACAGTTTTCTCCCCCGCATCCAGTTTGTTTCCTCCCACCAGTCACAGCAGCATGGGTGGGGAGAAACGGTGACCTTATAAACGGAGGCCTGTCACCAATACATGGCTTAAAGTCTGTCTGCTCTGGGTATAGGTTTAACAATTAGCACCAGATTTATTTTGTGTTGTTGTTGTTTTTGTAGTTTTTATTTCCAGCGGCCATGAGCATGGACAAGCAGAACAAGCAGGTGCTGGAGCACCCCGGATCTCTGTCCCCATCCAAAGGCCACCAGAAACCCCCAAGAATGCCCAAGTGCTCCCGCTGTAGGAACCACGGCTACGTGTCTCCTCTGAAAGGCCACAAGCACTTCTGCAACTGGAGGGACTGCCAGTGTCCCAAATGTAAACTGATAGCTGAAAGGCAGAGAGTCATGGCTGCCCAGGTAACGGTTGGTTTTTTAAATTTTTTAAAAACGATTAGCGCGCGCGGCTAGCATTAGCTTGAGCCAAACTCAAAAGTTAAGCATTTAAACGTGAATATTTTATGTAAAACAAGTTGTTTCTACGGTGTGAAACGGGAAATACAATACGTAATTGTTTTAGATAACATTTTGATGTATGTTTGTTTTATTTTATTTATTTTATTTGTGTACCAACAAAGACACCTGAAGTGTCAACCTAGCTTAAAACCTGCATTAGCTGTCGTAAACCTTAAACCATTAAGCTAATGTGTGCTTTTTAGAAATGTTTTTGTATATTGTTACACTTGTTGCTTACCGCAAACAGTTGATACACTTATATTAATTAAAAGTTATGCTACATATATATATATATATATTAGTGCTGGGCAAGTTAACGCGTTATTTTCACGTTAATGCATTCATTAATTAACGCCGACAATTATTTTATTGCGCATTAATGCATTTTTAAAATTTATTATTATATTTATTTATTTATTTTTTTTATTGAAAGACGAGACAATACATAGACATAACAACAAGAGGATGACAAGAACAGTGGGATAAAAGCCAGCAAACATCCTATAGTCAGTTGTATGTGTGTGTGTGTGTGTGTGTGTGTGTGTGAACGTGTGTGTGTATGTCCTTGAGCCTTTAAAGTGAGCAGACACTCAGATCTCCGTGGTCAACTCAGCAGATACCTACATGTTAGTGCACCTATATGCTGAAATTCACGGTAAACTAATTTAAACGGCACAGATCGGGAGCGAGTGAAGGACTTTGAAAGTTAGCGGAAAGATTAACGTGAGACAACATCCGGTTTCTTCAGACGAACATCCGGTTTTCAGAATAAGATGCCAACAAAGTATGAATTATATTCACATTAAGTATAAAACATGCTACCTGCATCTCGTGAACCAAATGTTATTGCACTTTTGTTCATATAGCAGTACTTTTAAAATAAAAGTGCGCAATACACTACTTTTGAATTCATTATTGAACTTTGCCATAACAATGCGATTAATCGCAAAAAATCCATGCGATTAATCGCGATTAAATATTTTAATCATTGCCCAGCACTAATATATTGTGGTCATTTGCTTTGTAACTGTAGATTGTAGCTTTGAAGTAACAGTTTAGTTGTTTTTTTTCAGCGCCATTTTTGGGTAGGCTCATTGATGGCTATGTTTTTTGTGATTAAGTAAATCTATTTATATATTTTAAAACTATGACATGTGGCAAACACACTGGTGTATAGATAGATAGAAGTAGATATATTAAATAGATGGTAGGCCTACTTTATGTATCCCAATGTAAATTTGACAGTAGCACAAGTCACATCAGTCAAAAACAACCAAAGAAAAAACAAACAAATATTTATTTAATAGTGGTTAAATTAGCTGAAACAAGCATCCAACTGAGACTTTTATCTACCGGTTTTGTTTCTTAATTAATTAAGATTTTAGCATAGAAAAATTCAATTTCCCAGAGACCAATGGTACAAATTCAAAAAAATGCCTTTATCGTCCAATTAATACACCCACACCAAAAAAGATTACATTTACAATTTTAGAAAATAGATTGAAAAAGAAGATACTCCAATTTTAAGAAGCTATGAAGTTATGGCTTCAGTCTTACCCGTTTATTACAACACATTTATAAAAACGAATGGCTAAAGACAAGGATATTACATAACAAATTCCATATTCGTGAGAGAACAATTAAGTATCACAATAATTTACTTATTATGTATGTGTTATTATTATTACTATTTGTTGCATTATCAAGCAGGTGAGTCTGTCATAAGTCATAAGTAGATCTGGGTAATGTTTTGTTTTTATTTTATTCCCCTCCAGGTTGCCCTGAGGCGGCAGCAGGCTCAGGAAGAGGAGCTTGGGATTTGTAGTCCGGTGGCTCTGTCCGGTCCCGAGGTGATGGTGAAGAATGAAGCTGCAGCAGATTGCTTGTTCTCTGAGGAGGGAGGAGCTCCTTCACCAACGCCTTGTCTTGCTGTCACAGGTGAGTTATCGTGTACTGTGTCACACTACTAATGAAGCCGATAGCTGATTGTACAGCTGCATAGGTCTTTCTATGGGTGTGTGCAACTAACAAAACATTTTTTAGAGTCTGTTTAGTCTACTGTTATTGTAAAACAATAAAACACCCAGAACGTCAAGAATACTTTGAAAGATATCATCAATAAGAGACGTTTTAATGGAAAAATCTGTGAAAATCAAATTTGATTTTGGAGGCAGCAGCTTGAAAGGGCCCCTTGGCAGTCGGGGGAGGCAGACACAGATATGGTGTTCCGTGCCTGATAGCAAACGTTAGGAGGTAGGAATATGACTGGTCAAGGCTTCTCGTGTCTTCTGCTTTGTGTTCATGTGAGGGTGAACCTTAAGTCTCTGGCTTGGCAACAGGGAGGAAATGACTGATCTGGAAAAAGGAGTCGAGCACTCTGCGATTCGGTGATGACAAGAGGCAGAACAGGGACAACAAATGTCATTATCTTTGGCGTCGGAGGTGCACACAGTGTCTTCAGTGTCTTCCTGCGAAGGATCAGGGTCTGCCTGAGAAGAATGTGGCCTTGTTGATAAGGAAAGAACAACGGATAATGAGCAATTGGATGATGATGATGATGGTGATGGTAATACTCGACCTGAGAGGGCAACCCACATTCCTGCATTGTGATGGTGTGAATGATGTGGTAGGTCGGCTAATTTTGACGTCAAAAAACTACTCCCACCTGCAGATGGTGCTGTTGATAGCGATTTGAGCTGTGATGGGACAGCCAGAGAAGTTCACATCTTCTTTTCCTATTTAATGATTGATCGAAAGATCTACTGCAAGCCGAATAACATCAGGAAATACTCAGCTAGGAAAATAAACACCTAAAAGTCAGCTTAAGCTCTGCTGTTGGATGCATAATTCATAGTTTTATAAATTTACGTATTATTAATCCAAGTTACTAACCATAATTAGTACATAAATGCATGGACGTAATCCTCAAATCCATATTTCAAATGCGATAATGATCTAAAATCCAGCCGCAAGCGTCACACTTGAGCCTCTGAATTGATGTCGGATGTCTTATTTGTAGGCAGCCGCTCAGCTTTGTCTCCCAGCCCGTCAGCTGGTGCCGGGGCTCACAGTGAGGGATCGTCAGACCTGCTGCTGGAGACTTCCTATTACAACTTCTACCAGCCGTCACACTACCCAGCCTACTACGGCAACCTGTACAACTACCAGCAATACCAGGTGACTTAATAACAGTCAAACTCTACCTGAAGCCTTTTTTAAAGGGCTCAAAGTACTGTCGGTATATCACATGCTAGTCCTTTCTGTTGGTTACCTGTAATGTGGTGAGGGTTTTGTGCCACTGAAGGGGAAACGTATGTGTGCCTTAAATACAATTCATAATCTTATTTAAATTGGAAATACTGACTTGGTAATGTAGCGTGAGCAGCTCCTGTCCCGTTTCTAGGCGGGGAAGTAGTTCGCACCTAACACGGTGGTTACTCCGTCAGCTGCTCCACCTGCTGAGGATATGGGTTCCTCCTTGAGGTCTCAGAACAATACTTTCGGCCTTTTATCTCACCCCGTAGCTAAATAGTTAGGATTTCGGAATTAATTATCTTCTTGAAAGTCTTTTACGGCTAATGCCCTCGGCGCTCTCAATGGGATGTAACCCTAACACCCTGTATGTAATAGTTATGTACATCGTCTATACTTTACTATTGCCTATTGTGAACATTCTCACCATTTATAACTAACCCTGCCAAGTCTTCACCCAGAGAACTCACCTTAAGCTCCTCTGCATGTTTCAGTCGTCACATCTTATCGCACCACTAATGGACAGGGGAAGAGGGGTACATTGTTTTAAAGGACCAGAACACTGTTTTGGTTTCAGTCACTTACTAAATGTAAGGCTATGTTTTTATTTCTGGTTTTTCACACAAGATTCACATACAACAATTTCAATTCAATGAAACAGTCACAGTGGCTACAGAACTAATTTTAGCATTCCTCTCTGTCAGCCTTCACTGATTTTGTAATGAGGTCTTCTTCTGTCAGCTCTCTGACATTCCCATTCTCTAGTTGGGGTGGGGAGAAGCCCCCCTCACAGTTTTTCTGCAGCTTTTTATGCTGATCTAAGGCTGGCACCTCCTTCATTTCATGTGTCACTCACGCATGAGTCCTCCTCTCTCTGAGGCTGACACAGAATGTAACTGGTTGTAACTGGTTTGATCCTGCTAGAACCAGAAGCACTGTAAGGCTCAGTGTCAAGTGTGTGTGTGTGTGTGTGTGTGTGTGTGTGTGTGTGTGTCTGTGTGTGTGTGTGTTGGAGGGATGACTTTACATCTGAGCTGCTTCATACCACAGAAACAGGAGATAAGCTGCTTAGCTACGAATCCCCTCAGCATGAACAAGGCTTACTTCCTATTACCTCGTCAGATAACTTGTCACAGTAATATAAAGTGAGTCAACTGCGTGAAGGCACAGCTGGAAGAGACGGATGTAGCACCAAATATTAGTCTCAGCAAATCGTCTGTCACACCAAAATGATTTGTCTCTGGGATGAAAAGTAGTCAACTTCAAACCCCTAAAACAAAGTTCCAGTCCAGTGTGGTCCTAGCCATGAGCTGAAGTGACCTCAAAATATTCTTTAAAGTTACTACAACTCATTTTGTATTTACTTTGGCGGCCCCTGTGGACTAAAGCGGTAGTATTTCTGAGCACCAGAGTCCTTTTTAGAAAACCTCTCATTTCACTGCAGCAGGGTCTGACAGTCTGCTCCTCTCGGTCCTGGTTCTGGTTCTCTCGAGCCTCCCTTCCCTCCAGCAGGCCCAGCAGTACAGCCTGGGTGTCCGACCCGATGACACCAATGACGAGAATTAAGAATAACTATATAGAA